GGAACTTCCTAAAAGTGCCGCGAGTCCTGGGTCCCCTTCATGGTTTCTTGGACCTCTGTGCACAGAGGAAGATGATATCTCCCACTTCTCCTGCATCTAAGAGTGGCTTCCCCTTCTCCTGGAAAACCAGATCCCCAAACCTAAGGCTTGTTTGTTAAACAGGCTGTCACAGTAGGACTTTGATGGAGGGGCTGGTAGTTAAGTGGGTGGAAAGGTCACGTTTTACTTCCCTGGTGCTGTGGTCTATTTGAGGGCCCCATCCCTGGGTGGTACAAATGGTTAATGCGCTCAGCCACTGATGGAAAGATCGGAGGTTCCAGGCCACCCACAGGTACCTTGGAAGAAAGGCCTGGAGATCTGCTTCTGAAAAAGCAGCCATTGAAAACCGTACGGAACACAGTTTTATTCTGACACACCTAGGATTGCCGTGAGTCGGAATCGACTCCACGGCAACTGATCCACCCTGCCTGCTCCACCCCTGAGAGTGTGGCTGGTGAGGTCTGGGAGATGCTAGGGATGGTGATGAAGATGCTTCCAGGTGATTATGGCGTTCATCATGGATTGAGAGGCCCTATTCAAGAGGGTTACTATCGCTCTGCATGAATGGGGCACTAATTCTGCCTAGAAGTCATATTTTAAAACACAGCAGCCTGACCACATGTCATCTTTCTCCTCGAACCGCTTCAGATAAGCCTTTTACTTCATAAGAAGAATTTTCAAACCACACCATGTTTCATAGACCAAAACATACATATGTTATTTCTAAACACAAAGCAAATGTGTTTTTTAAAAAAAAAAGACAACAAAAACATCACACACCATCATTTGGAACACTGCTACTTCCAACGTGAACAGCAGGAAGAAGATGAAAACGTCCACATAACTTTAAAATACAGCGCTGAGAAGAAAGCAGGCACGGCCTGGGTCCCTAGCTACAGGGGGGCGGTGAAGTCACCCAGTCGGCTTTGGACTTGAATGAACTGAGATAAAACACACACGTGTTCTGAAAGAGTTGTTTGGCTCCTATACTGCTTGCCTTCCCAGAAAGCTTAATTTATTGCAAATGCATGTTTTACAATCACAAATAATGCGACGAGAGTGGATCTGGTCCCCTGTGCACACTGTTTACATAACAGAACGCTTTTAAGAATGCAGTTGGTTTGCTGTTGATACCAAAAACCACAAAAGCAGCGTGTACACATGTGTGCACACACACCACTAACACACACACACAAAACACCGTCACCTGATTGACACTAATGACCCAGACCATTCCATCCAGGTAAGCAAGCAGTAGTACAGGTGAGCAGTCTGTGGGTAAGCAGGTCTTCAGGTGTCCAAACAGGCGAACTTGCTCAGGTGAACCTGGATTTAGGGCGGAAGGCGTGCGAGAACATGGCTGAGCCTCCAGGTGGATCCTGAGGAGGCTGATCCTACAGCTGAAGGGAGATGAGAGGGGAAAGGGAATCAAGAACCCCTTCTTGTGGAAACATTAACCATTTTCAACAAGCTGAGCAGTGCCACCTGGATGGGAGAAGCCACTGCACTCACAAGTAACGATCCACTTCCACGCTCTTCAAAGTGAACAGAACAGATCTGTCACGGTGGATGCTTTGCAGTGAGAAGGTCCATCTTTGGGACTTGAAATTGGGGAAAAGTACTCACTCTTCCAAACTTGCCATCTTTCCTGCTTCTAACACCTTAGGTGCTCAATAAATGCTAAGAGCATTACTGGCTTCTGAAACACACTCACACACCACACACACACACACACACCACACACACACACACAACACACCAACACACACACACCCCATATACAACACACACACACCCCA